TCAAATGGTAAGAAGACAGGGTGCGGATATGTTCTTGCGGAGCATCTCTGGGATGTGGCGGCTCTGGAGGATGTCTCGGGCGCCGCGGCCTCGTCAGAGTGCTGCGGAACGCTCTGGGAGCGTTCGGAACGCTCTGGAACAGATCTGTCCTCGTCTTAGCCTGCAGTCGGGCGTGTCCCCCTACAGGGAGATACTCAACAAATGCTCAAGAGTGACCAAAAAATGCTAAAAAATAGTCCCCATATCATTTTTGGCCTATTTTTGGAGATTCCCCCTGTCGAGGGACACGCCCGACTTCATCTTAGCCCCGTCCGATCCACCTCCACTCTTGTCGGCACACGCTGGAGGTGACCCCACGGCAAGAGTGCCCAGATGGTCTGGTACCGGAGATTTTCGGTAGCGATTTCGACGCACCCCGAATGTCGGTCGCGACCGGATCTTCGTTCGAGGGCGTTGAAATAGCGGGTTTCGGAACGTTCTGATACCGGTATTGGGCGCTGCATTTCGGTATTTCGGTAGCGACCGATCTCTGCGGAGCGCTACCGGAAATTTTCGGTAGCGGACCATCAGGTCTTCGCAAACCCGGGTCAGCCGATATGCGCGGCCGCCTCGCGGCCACGAGCGGCTCCCTAACCCGGGTCAGCCAGAGGGGGTCTTCGCAGGATCCTGCAGGATCTGGCGCCCTGGCTGACCCCCGTCTGCATTGACCCCCGTCTCAGGGCTCCCGAAGGGCCCCATCTGGGGACGCCGCCGGGTGCGCAAGCCGCTGCTGTCGCCTCGCCCTCGGCGGTGGGGGGGCCCCTCTCGAAAGCTGGGCGAGGGCTGCTGAGACCGTGGCTGCTAAAATCAGGGGGACGTCCTCCTCCTCGTCCTCCTCCTCCTCCTCGTCCTCCTCCTCGTCCTCCTCCTCCTCCCCCTCCTCCTCCTCCTCCTCCTCCACAGTCGGGGAGACGTAAGACCTGGGTACGGGGGACTCGGAAATCCCCGACGAGGTCGTCAAGAAAATGACGAGGCCGAGCCTGCATTTTGACGAGGCCTCCCGCTGCAGACATCCCACGAAACTCCTCCTCGTCAAAATCCGAGGCGCGGTCGTCAAAAAACGGTGGCGAACCCGAGTCCCGGCAAACCCGGGTCTTACGCTCCCCCGATAAAACGGCCCTCCCGGAAGGAAAAAACAACTTCCCGGAATGAGGCGCGGCACGCGACACAATCAACGGGCTTCTTCCCGGAAGGACGAGGACAACTTTCGGGGAGACGTAAGACCTGGGTACAGGGGACTCGGAAATCCCCGACGAGGTCGTCAAAAAAATGACGAGGCCGAGCCTGCATTTTGACGAGGCCTCCCGCTGCAGACATCCCACGAAACTCCTCCTCGTCAAAATCCGAGGCGCGGTCGTCAAAAAACGGTGGCGAACCCGAGTCCCGGCAAACCCGGGTCTTACGCTCCCCCGATAAAACGGCCCTCCCGGAAGGAAAAAACAACTTCCCGGAATGAGGCGCGGCACGCGACACAGTCAACGGGCTTCTTCCCGGAAGGCCGAGGACAACTTCCCGGAAGTTGATCTTATCGGGGAGACGTAAGACCCGGGTACGGGGGACTCGGAAATCCCCGACGAGGTCGTCAAAAAAATGACGAGGCCGAGCCTGCATTTTGACGAGGCCTCCCGCTGCAGACATCCCACGAAACTCCTCCTCGTCAAAATCCGAGGCGCGGTCGTCAAAAAACGATGGCGAACCCGAGTCCCGGCAAACCCGGGTCTTACGCTCCCCCGATAAAACGGCCCTCCCGGAAGGAAAAAACAACTTCCCGGAATGAGGCGCGGCACGCGAAACAGTCAACGGGCTTCTTCCCGGAAGGCCGAGGACAACTTCCCGGAAGTTGATCTTATCGGGGAGACGTAAGACCCGGGTACGGGGGACTCGGAAATCCCCGACGAGGTCGTCAAAAAAATGACGAGGCCGAGCCTGCATTTTGACGAGGCCTCCCGCTGCAGACATCCCACGAAACTCCTCCTCGTCAAAATCCGAGGCGCGGTCGTCAAAAAACGGTGGCGAACCCGAGTCCCGGCAAACCCGGGTCTTACGCTCCCCCGATAAAACGGCCCTCCCGGAAGGAAAAAACAACTTCCCGGAATGAGGCGCGGCACGCGAAACAGTCAACGGGCTTCTTCCCGGAAGGCCGAGGACAACTTCCCGGAAGTTGATCTTATCGGGGAGACGTAAGACCCGGGTACGGGGGACTCGGAAATCCCCGACGAGGTCGTCAAAAAAATGACGAGGCCGAGCCTGCATTTTGACGAGGCCTCCCGCTGCAGACATCCCACGAAACTCCTCCTCGTCAAAATCCGAGGCGCGGTCGTCAAAAAACGATGGCGAACCCGAGTCCCGGCAAACCCGGGTCTTACGCTCCCCCGATAAAACGGCCCCTCCCGGAAGGAAAAAACAACTTCCCGGAATGAGGCGCGGCACGCGAAACAGTCAACGGGCTTCTTCCCGGAAGGACGAGGACAACTTCCCGGAAGTGGATCTTAGCAGCCACGGACTTAGCAGCCCTTGCCCGGCTTCCGACGGCCCTGGGGCCCCCAACTCGGGGATGGACAGACCCCCCTTTAGTAAAACGTGGTTTAGCGAAAACGACCTGAGGCCCAAACCTGGCGGGCGCAAGCCTGGAAAATGACGGCCGCGGCGCCCTCTCGAGAACCGAGAACGGACAATTCACTAATCGACGTGTCACTAGTGGGGGTTCTGTCCACCCCCGACCAACACAGGTCACTCCGTCGAGAAGCCACTCTCTTGCGTGCAGTCGGCTTTGGCCGCGGCCTCCGCTCCGCGGTGTCCTGCGACCCGGCCGCGGTGCGCCACGGGAGCAGCTCCGCAGGGGAGTAGCGCGGCGGCGCCATGTGCGCGGGCCGGCATGCCTCTCTGCCCACGCGCCCGTGAGCCCACGCTGCGGCCCCACTCTGTTCACCCTCTGTTCCCGCGGCAGCAGCTCCAATGTTGCATGGAAGAACGGTTGACAAGAATCGGCGTATGCATCAACTTCTAGCGCTCCGCGCGGATTTCTTGGATCTGCGCTGGTAAAACGACGCGAAGATCGGGACAAAATCGGATCGGGATAACTCGAAATCTCTGAGAATCGGTGGGTTTGGAGGATGTATGGGGCGCCGCGGCCGCTCCAGAGCGTTCCGGAACGCTCTGAGAGCGCTCCGGAACGCTCTGGAGCAATTTATCCTGATCCTAGACCTGTTTTAGCTGGACTCCCCTCCCTGTCGCGCGGAGCTCGCCAGGGGCGGCGCTGGAGTCGCCGCCGGGAGGGGGGGGGGGGGGGGCAGCGCGGATCCGAGAAATCCGTGCGGAGCGCCACAAGTTTATGCCCGTGCCATGTGTCCTCCGACTGCAGAGACACACGGGCAAGTGCCTGTGGCATGAAAATGGGGCCCTCCTTGTACATCTTGGGTTAAGTCGGGCGTGTCCCCCTACAGGGGGAATTTTGGGCGAACAATCAAAACTATGCCAAAGATGCCCTCCAGATGCTCCCAAATAGTGAAAACACCGTGCCCTGACGATTTTTGGACTATTTTTGAATGTTCCTCCTGTAGAGGGACGGGCCCGACTTGAATGCGAAGGCAGGCACACGTTTCGACCACCCGCCCCGTGCGGTACCCTCGCTGCAGGCCGCCACAGAGCGCAGTGCTGCCGCGGTGCATCGAGGAGGATGGGCGCGGAGGTTGCTCCTGCCAACCTCATCCTGCTCCCAGACTCGGGTCGGGCGAAAGGGGGGGATAGCAAAGGGGGGGTTTGAGAATCAGCTCACGTAGCTCATTTTCCCGGCGCCTCCCGGCGCCAGGAGGCGACTATGTATCGAGGAATGGGCCCCTCGGTGAGGCCGAAACCAGCTGCATGCAGCAAATTTCGTACCCCCCCCTTTCCCAATCCCCCCTTTCGTCCGGCCCGACTCATCCTGCTCCCAGACCTGTTCGGCCCTTCACTCCCAGGTCTGTCAACTTTCTCACCTCACCACTGCTGCCTATGATCAAGCGCAGCCTGCAACTCCTAAGGTCACACGAAACCTTTCAGAACAGCTTGTTTGGTTTCGCTTTCGACTCAAATGTATCTGGCAAAGCGCAGTGTACCATCGCTGCGAAACAATAACACGACTGCTCGCATATCAACTGGCTGACTAAACTTGATGGGACCGCGGACCCAGCGACGCCTCTGGCGCCCCCCCCCCTGGCGCGCGCCGGTACAGGCGTGTGGTGAAGGGGGCCTGGTGCCAACCCGAGAAATCGGCACAGACCTCCGAACATCAACATTTATGTCGCTCTCTTCTGCTATCGCAGCCTTGAGGCTCAACGGAGAGGGGGAAGCTGTCTTAAGGGGGAGCATCGACCTTGAAGGAATCAGAGATACAACGCAGATCGATCGGCGAGGAGCCCCCGACGGCGAATCCGCACGTTCCCTGGCAGGGTGGGACTATCGGGCCCCGTATCGGCGATCAATGAGCGATTGAAGGCCGATGCATCCCTCGGGTCGGGCGAAAGGGGGGGATAGCAAAGGGGGGATTTGAGAATCAGCTCACGTAGCTGATTTTCCCGGCGCCTCCCGGCGCCGGAGGCGACTATGTATCGAGGAATGGGCCCCTCGGTGAGGCCGAAACCAGCTGCATGCAGCAAATTTCGTGACCCCCCCTTTCCCAATCCCCCCCTTTCGCCCGGCCCGAATCCCTCCCTGAGCCTATCCCCGTGCCCGGTGCTTTTCGGGCCACAACTCGTCTCTCTCCGGCGGCCGTTCGAGACGACTCTGGTACCCCCGGACCCCGGAACGCCGTCGGCGAAGCGCGGCGGCTGGAAAGCACTCCGAGGCGAGAACGCCGCGGAGATCTGCAAGACTCCCGAGGAATGGGCGCATGAGGCCGATGCATCTGCCCCAGAGCCCACCCCGCCTATCACTGCCCTGAAGGGTGCCCCTCCTCTCAGCGCCCCGTCCCCGTCGCGCGGCGCCTTCTTGCCAGCCGCGGAGCCGCCTGCGTCGCGCGGGCGCTCGAAGTGCACCTCTGGCCGAGGGGTGAGGGGGCGCTCCAGGAAGACTCGGGGAGACACCGCACGGGCGCCGAACTTCGCGCGCTTCGCGCGGCGCGAAGTTCGAATACCTGTGCGCGGCGCGAAGCGCGCGAAGCGTCCTGGCGGGCGCTCTTGACGACAGACGCGAGCTTGAAAGTGCTGTGACGTTTGCTTGACAGACAGTGCCGAGACACGTGCCCACCGTCGGTCGGGCGAAACCCCAATGGCTTCCCGGGGCTTTGGGGGGGATGACGAATATGAAGGGGCCCTGGGACACACAAATAAATACACACAAACAAAAAGATTCCCCATATTTTCCTATATTTTCTGGGTTTTTGTCTTCCCCACCACTTCCCATATTTTCCCATATTTTCTGGGAAATCGACGATTAATTGTGTCTGTGTGTTTTTTCCCCTCTTGATTTGGGGGGTATGACGGAAACCGAGACGAGCACCGCAGGCGGTCCGACAACCACGGACTTGGTGCGCAACAGGCCACACCGTCAACCCGTGTGAAGAACGAGGGCGCGCGAGAAGGATGCAGGGGCCCTGGAGAGGCCACGTCGACACTCTGCGGGCGGGGCGCGGCCAGCGAAAGCGGCCAAGGACGGGCCGAAGAGGGGAAGGATGCGAGGGCACAGTCGGGCCCGACACACAGGAACTGAAGGGGCCCTGGGACACACACAAATAAATACTCACAAATAACCAGATTCCCCATAGATTCCCACATTTTCTGGGTTCTTGTCTTCCCCCCACTTCCCATATTTTCCCATATTCTCCTTGGAGTCGACGATTAATTGTGTCTGTGTGTTTTTCCTGAAGAACATCCCTCGAGAACGTGAGACCCTCCGCCTGCCGAAATGGGGACCATCCGAGGGTACCCTAAGGGGAACAAAAAGTGGCATACACATAAAACCTCGGAGGTCCGCGCGGATTTCTCGGATCGGCCCCTCCCATCCAATCCCATCCCCCTTCTCTTCGACATCATACCTCCTATCTATCTGGCCTCCTCCCCTCCCCATCCCCTCTTTGAGAAAAAGGAGACGCGCCATAAACATAAACTTTTGGCGCTCCGCGCAGATTTTTTGGATCTGCGCTGGACCCCCCTCCCTGGCGCGCGGAGCGCGCCAGGGGCGGCGCCGGAGGCGCCTCCGGGGGGGGCCCAGCGCGGATCCGAGAAATCCGCGCGGACCTCCGATTTTTTGATGTTCAAGTCACTTGTTCCCCTATACCCCCCCCAGGATGCACGAGGCCGCGGCGGCGTGGACAGCGAATCCCGTTCAAAATGAACAGGATCTGCTGCTGGGCATTGTACCCATTCTTTCCGTACCCATTTCGGGCGTCCAGAGGGGAGCATCCGAGGGTACTCCAGATTTCGTAATAAAAGGGAGGGGGTCTCATTTCGGGGGGGGTCTCTTCCAGGCCATCTTGGAGGGCCTGGGGGGGGGTCTGGGGACGATGTTTTGGAGGGTTCTCCCACGGGGGGGGGGTCTGAAGTGGCTTGTCTTGGATGGTCCAGACCCCCTCCCTTTTATTACGAAATCTGGAGTACCCCCTCAGGATGCACGGGTGGGGGGGCGGAAAGATACGGATACGTGTTGTCCCCGGACCTCTCTTGGGGTGCGTTCTGACCAGAATTTCGAGGCGAATCCAGCGGTGACAACGAGGATTCCCCAGGAGGACCAGGAAAGGCCGAAAACGAAGGGGGACGACACGTATCCGTATCTTTTTCTCCCCCGAACGAGAAGATCCAGCAGCCACGGAGAGCACGTAGGGCACCCTCCCCCGGTGGACTGCCGCACGCCCCCCGGCAGGCCCTCCACGCACACCCCGCCGCGGGCCCCTCGCCGAGACCACCTCTGCCCAAGGCGGGCGGGCACCGCACGGGGTCGCTCTGAGATCCGAGGCGGGAGAAGACGAGCAAAGGGGATGATCGACGAGGAGGAGCATCCAGAGGGGAGCATCCAGAGGGTACCCTCCCAGGATGCACGAGAAGATCCAGCAGCCACGGAGAGCACTTATAAGGTGCCCTCACCCCGCCGCGGGCCCCTCGCCGAGCACCTCTGCGCGAGCGGGCGGGCACCGCACGGGGTCGCTCTGAGACCTGAGGCGGGAGAAGACGAGCGAAGGGGAAGATCGACGAGGAGGAGCATCCAGAGGGGAGCATCCGAGGGTACCCTCCCAGGAAAAGGGGATGATCGACGAGGAGGAGCATCCAGAGGGGAGCATCCGAGGGTACCCTCCCAGGATGCACGAGAAGATCCAGCAGCCACGGAGAGCACCCCGCCGCGGGCCCCTCGCCGAGCACCTCTGCGCGAGCGGGCGGGCACCGCACGGGGTCGCTCCGAGACCTGAGGCGGGAGAAGACGACCATGATCGACGAGGAGGAGCATCAGAGGGGAGCATCCGAGGGTACCCTCCCAGGATGCACGAGAAGATCCAGCAGCCACGGAGAGCACTTATAACCCTCGCCGGCACCTCTGCGCGAGCGGGCGGGCACCGCACGGGGTCGCTCCGAGACCTGAGGCGGGAGAAAGAGCGCATGATCGACGAGGAGGAGGAGCATCCAGAGGGAGCATCCGAGGGTACCCTCCCAGGATGCACGAGAAGATCCAGCAGCCACGGAGAGCACTTATAACCCTCGCCGAGCACCTCTGCGCGAGCGGGCGGGCACCGCACGGGGTCGCTCTGAGACCTGAGGCGGGAGAAGACGAGCGAAGGGCATGATCGACGAGGAGGAGCATCCAGAGGGGAGCATCCGAGGGTACCCTCCCAGGATGCACGAGAAGATCCAGCAGCCACGGAGAGCACTTATAACCCTCGCCGAGCACCTCTGCGCGAGCGGGCGGGCACCGCACGGGGTCGCTCTGAGACCTGAGGCGGGAGAAGACGAGCGAAGGGCATGATCGACGAGGAGGAGCATCCAGAGGGGAGCATCCGAGGGTACCCTCCCAGGATGCACGAGAAGATCCAGCAGCCACGGAGAGCACTTATAACCCTCGCCGAGCACCTCTGCGCGAGCGGGCGGGCACCGCACGGGGTCGCTCCGAGACCTGAGGCGGGAGAAGACGAGCAAAGGGCATGATCGACGAGGAGGAGCATCCAGAGGGGAGCATCCGAGGGTACCCTCCCAGGATGCACGAGAAGATCCAGCAGCCACGGAGAGCACTTATAACCCTCGCCGAGCACCTCTGCGCGAGCGGGCGGGCACCGCACGGGGTCGCTCTGAGACCTGAGGCGGGAGAAGACGAGCGAAGGGCATGATCGACGAGGAGGATCGGGTCGGGCGAAAGGGGGGGATAGCAAAGGGGGGGGGGTGAGAATCAGCTCACGTCGCTGATTTTCCCGGCGCCTCCCTGCGCCAGGAGGCGGCCATGTATCGAGGAATGGGCCCCTCGGTGGGGCCGAAACCAGCTGCGCGCAGCAGATTTCGTACCCCCCCCTTTCCCACCCCCCCCCTTTCGCCCCGCCCGAGAGGAAAAGAGAACCCGCGGAAACAGTGAAAGTAGAAGCGGGAGTTATGCTGTTCCCAACGTATCAGGGACCACATCCCAGACATAATTCTGAGCATCGAGGAGAGAATGGAAACGGTGTCTGCCCGACGCGCTGGCGAAGTGTCGGTCGAACGAGTATCCTCTCCTGGGGCCCGCCAAGCGAAAACCCTCCAGTCTCGAGACCCTCTTGGTGCACGACACTCTTTCTTATGGTCGAACCGAAAGTAGGTTGGAACATCATTAAATAAGCGTGGATTGCAGTGCAGCGCCGATAATCGGGAGCGGCCAAGAGGGGGGGAGGCGCCATGAAATCTGGGAAATATCATGGCCCACGCCATGATATCCACCCCCCCTAGTCATCACCGCCCTCTTTTCCGCCCCCGAGATAAGCCTGATTGTAGGCCTGCGGCATACCCCCGTCGAGTTCGGAGTGGGCGGCCCTGGACCCCGCCCGAGCTCCGCCGGGACTTCCCCGACACGACGAAGAGCTGGCCCCTCCTCCCCTTCCCCCTCGCACTCCTCGCCCTATCCTGTTCCTCGCCCGCTTCCACCTCCTCCTCCTCCTCCTCCTCCTCCTCCTCCTCATCATCCTCCTCCTCCCCCCTGCCAAGCAATTTGGGCCGCCGGCGCCGTATACGAGACGCCTTTGAGGCTCTCCTCCAGCGCCATGCTCATCTCCATCGATTCCTGTTGGCCGTTCCTCCGTCCTCGGGCGAGTGGTGATGGGGGTGACCCGTCCTCGGGCGAGTGGTGATGGGGGTGACCTACATTGGGGGGGGATGAAGACATGGGACCGAAAGGGGCCCTTTAGGGCCCCTTCTGGAGCAAGCAGCGGCCCAAAAGGAATCCTAAAGGGCCCCTGTAGGGTCCACTCCTTTACCCCCATTGAGGTCACTCCCCTTTACAACCCGCCCAACCTCCTCCCTCCATTCTTCGATTTCTCCACGGCGAGGTTGCGGCTGCAATTGCCGCAGCCGGCAGGTGGAACATGGAGAACGAGCAACAACCAAGTCCAATGCAAGTGTTGAGCTTCTCTCTGCATGGAAATCCCCCTGGTCTCTGAGACATGCCGCCTCTCACCGAAACGAGAAACGAGCGCCAGAGCAGATACACCTCTGAGTCTGCCTTGGTGCTGCTGCGACTCGAGCCAGCACCTCAACGTCCTTGTCATTCCCCTCGTTCCTTCCCGCCCCCTCTCCTCCTCCTCCTCCTCCTCCTCCTCCTCCTCCTCCTCCTCCTCATCCTCCTTCTCCTCCTCCTCGTCCTCCTCCTCCTCCTCCTCATTCCCCTCGTTCATTCTTTCTTTCTTGCTCTACCTTGTGATTTCTTTTGGGGAGCCCAAACCCTTGCTAGGACAGCAATTGCCCAGTTTGGGTTGCATCTCCGCTTCCTGCACAACCCAATCCAAGGCCACCACTTCGGCAATGGAAGAGAGACCCTTCCAGCTCAACGTGTGCCACCCATGATTACGGGCGTGGTCTGCTCTACACTCCATCGCGTGCGAATCGCCTCCATAATCCAAGCTGCCGATGCGCAAGAGGTTGGCGGCGTGCACAAGGGGGGCAGAAGGAGGGGGGAGGGCTTCTTAAAAAAGGAGGCTGCTTCTTAGCAGGCGCCGGCCTTACATCTATAGAGAAGGCCCGCGCTTTCCAAGAGGCAGGGGTGCTCCTAAGGAGCGCTCCCCCCTCCCTCCACCCACTTCTGCGCGTGGCCGAAGGGGCTCGCTGGCTTCATCTCCTCCCCTCCCCAGCCCGCACCGACCTTCTCATATCCTGCTTCGGCTCTCTGACCGCCGTGGGAGCCACGGCAAGGCCTGCAAGGGGCCGGAACTGCGAGAAAACCCACCTTCTCAATCTCTTCACGACGCCTGGAGTTAGGTCGGGCATGTCCCCCTACAGGCGGATCTTGGGCGCACAATTCGAAACAGTAACAACATACCCCCGAATAGTCAATGATAGTTGAAAACTCGTGTCCAGACTATCTTTTGACCATTTTTGAATAGTCCTCTTGCAGAGGGACGTGCACGACGCAAGCCTGGAGATCTGGGTCGGACCTGCCCCCCATCCATGACCGCCCCCACCGACCGATTACTCCAGATTTCGTAATAAAAGGGAGGGGGTCTGGACCCCCCAAGACAAGCCATTTCAGACCCCCCCCCCCGTGGGAGAACCCTCCAGAACGTCGTCCCCAGACCCCCCCAGGCCCTCCAAGATGGCCTGGAAGAGACCCCCCCCCCGAAATGAGACCCCCCTCCCTTTATATTACGAAATC